AAAATAAACACAAAGAAAAAAAAGGAAAACAATATGAGACTTAATGATCTAACAAATTTTGCCAAAAAAGTCTGATCTTAATATGTAACTTTAATCATTTCATATTGATTTACTAGCAGATAATATTAATAAAAAGTAAAAAAAAATTAATTAAATATAAAATTAATTAAAAAATTATACATTCTAAAATCTTTGCCACAATTTAATTTCGTCTTTTTTTTATGCAAAAAAAAAAAAAAGAAAAAACTAAACATGAAAAGTGTTATAAAAGCAATCAATATGTATAAACTTTGATAAAAAGATAAAAGAGATCAATGAGATAAGAAAGTACGTTCGTTATCATTTATCATTCATTCTGGTTATCATTGTGTTTGTTAAAATATTTATTTTAGGTTGTACAAGAATATGAAAGGGTCGTGGTATTTCGATTAGGTCGTTTAATGCCTGGTGGCGCAAAAGGCCCTGGTATACTGCTCAATTAATTTTTTTTTTTTTTTTAACCACCTTTAAATATATGATAATTTAATTTCTTAAATTATAAAAATTTACTAATTTATTATAAAATCAATATTTAGGCATATTTTTTGTTGTGCCATGCATAGATACATATCGTAAAGTTGATTTACGTGTGATCTCATTCGAAGTGCCTCCTCAAGAGGTAACATTCAGATATTCATTTTTGATTAAATTATCACCTCCTTTTTTCACTTTCATATTTTATTTTATTTTATCATAATTAAAAACAATGTATTAAAGTATGTCACATTTGCATTGAATTATCACCAAGGTAAATTTCATATACAAATATTTAAATGAAAAAATATTTACTTGTTTTTTTTTTTTTTTTTTTTTTTTTTTTTTCACTAATTTCTTTTTATCTACTTAATAGTAGTTTAATTTATCATTTTTATAAGCAATTTTGTTCAACTTTTTCATTCATCAAAACTTTATCATTTTTTATCAAATACTAATCAATACTATCGTAAGCTAAGTGAAACTTTTGACAACCTATCATTGTATATTACATATATGTTTAAACTACTTTTCTATTTTTTTTTTTTAAAAAATTTTAAAATTGAGAAAATTGGCTGATTTCAGATTCTTTCTAAAGATTCGGTAACTGTAGCTGTAGATGCAGTTGTTTATTTTCGAATATCAAATGCTACTGTATCAGTTACTAATGTTGAAGATGCTGCGAGGTTTTTTTTTTTTTTTAGTATTAAAATGTTTTGTTTTAAATTTTCTTTTAAAATACGAATTGCAAATGAACAAATAAAATTATTTCGTTAATGAGAAATAAGTTTAGAGTTAAAATTTTTCATTTTTACTAGATAATCAAATGATAATTTAAAAAATCCAATTTCAGTCCTTCTTTTTCTCTCTTATTTCTTTTTCATTGTCTTAAGTTATAAAAGTAAACATATTTTATACATTTATGAAAAATAATTATAAATATTTCAATGATATTTATTCTTAGATACTGAAATGCTTTAATTTATATTCAATGTGATAACATATGAGATAATTGATAGCGAAATTTAATTAACACAAATTTTTATAAAATTTAGATCAACAAAACTACTCGCACAAACAACATTAAGGAATATTCTTGGAACAAAAACTTTAACCGAAATGCTTTCTGATCGAGAAGCTATTTCGTTGCAAATGCAAGTATGTTTGGCTTAATTCTTTAAAAATAATTTCATTTAATAAAGTAATAAATTCAATGAATAGTAGTAAAAATTTCATTTTTGTTCATTCCTTAAACTAAATGAATTTTAACATTTTCTCAAATAATATTTATTATATTTATTTGTTATGATTTGGATAATTACTTATTACAATATTGCAACATATGTAATTAATGTAAATAAATATGGAAGCAAATTTTAAGACAATTAAAATAATATGATTTGAAAGTAAATTTTCGGGTAATTTAAATAGTATTAGTTGAAAGTAAATTTTCAGATAATTAAAATAATATGAATTGAAAGTAAATTTTCGGGTAATTTAGATAATATTAAATAAAAGTAAATTTTTAGATGATTAAATTAATATGATTTTAAAGTAAATTTTCGGGTAATTTAAATAATATTAAATAGAAGCAAAATTTTCAGATAACACTTGATGAAGCTACAGAACCATGGGGAGTAAAAGTAGAAAGAGTAGAAGTAAAAGATGTTCGACTTCCAATTCAACTTCAACGTGCTATGGCTGCAGAAGCTGAAGCTGCACGTGAAGCTCGAGCTAAGGTTATTTTTTTAAATTATTTGTTGAACTTATAATTTTTCTCGAAAAGTTCATTAATTAACATTAAACCAGCTTAACTGTAACTATAATTAAATAAATAAAATGAATTAATTACTTTTAATAACTAATATCTTTTAAAATTAATTACCATTTTTAAGGATTAAATAAATAATCGAAGTTTTAAATTGATTTGCAAAAAAAACCTAATAGTTTCCACAGAGATTTGAAAAAGGGAAAAGTATTAATTCAATTCATATTTCATTTTTTTTTTTTTCTTCACTTAAAATTTTAGGTAATTGTTGCGGAAGGTGAACAGAAGGCATCACGTGCTCTTAAAGAAGCCGCTGAAGTAATTGCTGAATCACCATCTGCGCTACAGCTACGATATTTGCAAACTTTAAACTCAATAAGGTTAACCTTATATTGACCTTATATTACTTCAAAATTTCTCGAGTAAATGCAAAAAAAATGGACTGAAATTTCTCGAGTAAATGCAAAAAAAATGGACTGAAATTTCTCGAGTAAATACAAAATAAATGGACTGAAATTTCTCGAGTAAATACAAAAAAATGGACTGAAATTTCTCGAGTAAATGCAAAAAAAAAAAAAGAACAAAATAAATTAATCTTAGACATATTATTTACTACAAAATAATAAATATAGATAGGTAGATTAATATAAAATATATAGATATATTTATAAGCAAAAAAAAAAAAAACAAATAAGCATATTAGATCATTTGTTTTTGATCTTATTAATTTGTAATTTTATTATCAATAGCCATTAATTTGATCTCTTTGGTAAATATCAGATTTCTTGATTTAACCAACAAAAAAGAGATAGTTATAAGGGATAATGATGACATTTAAAATATTGAGTATTACGAGAAAGAAATTTTAAAGATTAAACAAATTTCATCTCACAGAAAAAGTTTAGTTTTACAAGTATAACCTTCTTTTTATCAAAGATTAAAACTGATATTTGAAGAAAGAATTGAAATTCTATTTGGAATAATTGAAATTGTAATAAAAATACTAAATAAATATTTAAAAAAAGTTGTACGATTAAGTTCTATAATATATGAAATTACTTCAAATAATATCAAATATATCTCAATTCATTAAAATTTTTTTTTTTAAGCGCGGAGAAAAATTCGACAATAATCTTTCCACTTCCCATTGATTTATTGTCATCATTTTTTCATCGTGCTACTCCTAAGGTGTAAGACTATGTTTTAATTTAAATTTAATTTCAATGTTTCAAAAAAAAAAAAAAAAGAAAAAAGAAAGAAAGAAACAATAGATTAAATTTTTTAGTTTATTAATTTCCAATAGATTAAATTTTTTTTAGCTTATTAATAAATATCAACAAAATAATTTTGTAGATGATATTAGAGAATGTTATACTCTTCAATAAATATTCGTTTTATTTTTTTTTTTCACTATTTCATTTAAAAATCATTTAATTAGTTGATTTAATCAATATGAGATTTTTTTTTTACTATGCTAATAAAAAAATTACAAAAATATGAAATTAGATGTGAATTAATTCATTTAGAATATAATACAATAAATACATATAAATTACAAATATAGAAAAATGTTAAAATTTTAAGTTAAATAGTAAACTAATTAACTTATTACAACAAAATTATGCACTTTTATCAAATGATTGAAAAGTTTGATATTATTGAGAGATAAAAAATCAAAATATAATCACTACAATTAATCCAATAAAATTTATTATTTTATAAATACAGGCGGAAAATTGAAATTTTGATTGAAATTTCATTTTCAGAATGACTAAAACACACTCAAGCTGACACTATCGCTACTATCAGAATGGAACAATTTCCTTCCTTTTTATTATTTTTTTTTTCCCAATGTTGTTATGTTGTAGTAATAATGTTCTCCTTTTTTTTTTTTCTATTTTATTTATTTATTTTTTGTTTATTTGTTTGTTTATCTTTTGCACAAAAATATTTTTTATTGCTAGAAAAGCTTTTAAAATATTAAAATATGAATAATTGTATTCAATTATTTCAATTTATTATGATTAAATTTTATTTGCATGTGCACTAAAAAAAAGTAAATTAGGAATAAATTTTTTTTTTTATCATTTTCAAATTTATTTACACATATTCTTTCTGTTTTTTATTTTATATTTTCTAATGCTAATTTAGCTTATCATTTTTGTTTGCAGAAAAAAAAAATGTTTAAGTTAAATTTGATAAACTGATAATACTATTTGTTAAAATTATAATAAATGAAATTTTGGAGAATATTTCGTTTTTTTTTTTTTCTACTCTTTGGCATTTTTTTTTTCTTTTTTCCTCTCTTTCTGTATTTGTAAAAGAATTTATTTAATTTTTTGATCAAATTAAATTATCAATTACAGCAGATGGCTTCAAATGGCAATTTTTCCACTTTGCTTATAAAGCGCAATTGACGTTTTTATTTTTCAACAAATATTCATTGTTGCTTTTTGTGCTTTTATTAAAATGCAAATTTTGTCACATAAAACAGTAATAATAATTTTAATTCATTAATTATATTAAATTATTTTAAGAGTTAAAGAAAATTATTTTAAGACTTTTCATTTGATTATTTCACTTATCACTTGATTTCTCCCTATTCTTACTGGTTTTCCGGAAGATCAATCTAAATCACATAGTATGAATTCGGATTCAGAGCAGAAATTCCGGCCCAATTTCGCCGTATACGTCCGTGTTGCATGCACAAGTATCCGGAATGGGTGCAAGAAATATTTCGAGATTCAAGCAATCACAATATCAAAATCGATCATGCAAACAGCACTGCACGACAAAATGCAACACCGAGCAAAAGTTCCAGCAGCAGCTTATCACATTATCATCGCCAAAGGTCAGTGATATTCATGTATTCCTCTTGCATTAATTTATTTTACTTTCATATTTTGATTTAAATTATGAAAATTAAATTAATTTTGCAACAGTGCAAATTTATGCTTTCTGGCAGTAAAAATTTTTGATATTTTTGGTTGAAAGGAAGCTAAAATATTTTCCGGAAAATGGAAAATTACCAATCCTTTATTTTAGCCAAAAGAGTGGAAATTAAATTTAGTCATATTAAAGAGATGCATAATTATTTCCGTTCTTTTATATTCACTAGGTATTTTGTTCTTTTTTTTTTAATAATTAATTCTAGCTTTTATTTCAACTCTGATCATCTTTTACTTGGATTAATTCAAATTTAAATTACATTTCAGAACTCTCGACGTATCATCGAGAATAGAAACGTCACAAACAGCAACAGTGAAAGTTGGAGCAAGATTAAGCCAAATAAAACTGGGTAAGTAGAACTTTGCATATCTTAATTTTACATATAATAAATGAGACTAATAATACTAACAAATTAATTGAATTATTAAAATACATATTTAATTAGCTATAATTTAGTTGGTCAAAAATATTTTCGATAAATTATTTTAGATGAAGTATTCATCAAATTCACTTCCACTGCTACTTTAATTTGATCAGATATTCTGAATGTAAAAACAGGAAATCAAACAAATGAATGAATCGATGCGAAATGAGCAATGAAATATTCCGCCACTTTCATTTCTTAAGGAAACGATCATCAATGAAGCGATAATTTACTGGAAAAGCGCAAAAGTTAGCAAATAGAAGGACAGATGCGAAGATCTGCTTGAATTACCATTGGAAACGACAACGATGTGACATTAAAGTAATATACGAAGTTAAAGTGAACTTACATCCTACTTATCAAATGATGGTATAAGCGTAATTACACGTATAAGCGTAGTTACACGTGATATATTTACTTCATCATCTAAGTGATTCATCCATCAATTGAAGCTACGAAGATGCGACACAATGGATAAATTTAAATTTATAACTCATCACGGAGAAGATTATTCTTCTGAATTAAATGATCAAGGGACTAGCAAAAATTTCAATAAAAATGTCACATTTGTTTGATTATGTGACAATGATTGAAATTGAATGATGAATAAACTGCACAAACCATCAATTAACACTAACAAATGATTATGATAAATGATAAAGAATGAAAATTGCGACAAATTGCGCAGTAAACAAAATATTTGTTAACATGGATAATAAATATTTCAAAGTACTACTAGGAATTGGAAATATATGAAACTGATAAAGTGATAATGATAAGTGCTACGAGTTATTTGTTTACTACTTCAACGCTATCACCAGAAAAGCTCCAAGTGTTTCTGGAATCAAATGATAATTATGTTAATTTGATCGAGAAAAATTCAAGGAGCTAATTTAAAGCGACAAATCAATTATGATAATATAAATTTTGATAATTCAAATAAAAACAAGAAAAATGTATTTCTTGAACAAAGAATGAATATAAATTGAAAAAGAGAATAATTTTTATGTTAAATGATAAAAATAAATCGTTTTCTAATTTTATGCTGAAAATTTCTAAATTTTTTTCAAACTATTAATAATTATCTTATAAATTCTAATCTTTGAGTGATTATAAAGAATTACTGAGAAACTTCAAAAATATCATTTTGAATATTTCTTGAAAAAAAAAAAAAATGAAATAACTCTTAGAAAAGAGATATTTCATTTTTTAAATGCTAAAAAATATTTCATTAATTCAACTCTATCAGAAGATTTGAAATTAATTTTTTTTTTCTCAGAAATTTATTATTAAAATTATTTTGATTAGTTCCGCATATTATTTCTACCGAATTTATAATTTAATTATTTTTAACAAATATTTCACTATCGATTTCTTTTGTTTTTTTCAGAAAATTGGAAGAAAAAAAAGGAAGCGAAACTATTAAAACTTTTTATAATTTTTTATTAAAAAAAAAAAAAAAAATGATTGAATTTTTTTGAAATTTAATAATTTCACATAAATTTGAATTATTAATTTCAGCTTAGAACGTTTCCTTCTGGAACGAGAATTTTCGGAAAGTAATACTACACGGGCATTATGTGGCTCATCATGGGCTTGTTCTACTTCTGATAATCTATCAACAAGTACTTCTTGCCTGATCGATGATCAACAATAACGATCAACAATATTTGTTGTTTATTGTTTTGTTTGTCAATAAAAATGACTAAAAATTATTTACTGTGTCTTTTTTTTTTTCTTTAATTACTTGAATAATTAATGATCGATTATGTTTTATCTACTTTAACATATCAATTGTTAAAGCTTTTTCTCTCAAATTTGCACAATATTGTTTGAGTAAACAAAAACAACAAAAAAAAAAAAAAAAAAAAGGAGAGTAAAAAAAAATAACTAAACAACTTATTGTGAAAATAAATTATTTTTTTCAAAATTGAAAATTAAAAAAAAAAAGGTATTTAATTGTTTATTTGTATTCATTAAGTTCTATAATTAATGCAAAATAAACTCTCCAATGTGAAATTTTCATAGCAAAATTTTATCAAATGTAAATTGCATCAGAATAATTGGAATAAATTAATAATTAATTTTTATTTTTGTTTTTTTTTCTAACTTTTAAGCAAAGCATATGCAATATTATTTTGATTAAAATAAATTCTATGCTTTATTTGTGCATCAAACAAATGCACATTTATCAATAATTTTTAAAATATACTTTTTTCATTCAAAAAAAAAATAAATATTTCTTTTAAAGTAATAAATAAATAAACAAATAGTTGAAATAAATCACATTTTTTTCAAGAAAAAAAAAAATGACTTTAAAAATAGGAAAAGCACCACATAATTTACATATTATGAATTTGTTGTATTAAATTAATATTACTTAATGGAATTTCTTCCGCTTCATTTGAATACCATTTAAATTTTAAAATTTACTCAAATCAAATCAAATTAAATTAAAAGTATGCATGCATCAATGAGCACTTCAAAACCATTTCTAAATCAACAATTTCATTTCATTTCATATTATAGTATAGTTATTAAATGCATTTAATAAATAAAACTGGTTGAATTTAATTTATTCAATGCTCATTTAATCCAATAATACTTCCATTTCATATTCCAGTTAATTTATAATAATAAATAATCTAACTTTTATTTCCTCTCAATTTTCTTAAATTTAAATTCAAATTTACTATATTTTTTTTTTTGTTATTTCAGTTAATGCATATATAAATAATTTATTTCACATCAAATTCAATTTATTTATTTATTTTTTTACTAGTTTTTTTACCAAAATTTGCTTTATTTTTATTAAAATTTTATTGTTTTCTTTCTTCAATAATGTTGCGCACAGTTTGCTTAATTAATTAATATTATAACATAATAAAAATTTTTAATTGTTTAATTTAATAAAAATTAATTTACTAAAATTTACTGCAATCTGATTTTTGAATTGCATCAAATTTTTATTGCTTCTTGTGAAATGATATGATGAAAAAAACGAAATATTTGTTTTCATCAGTAGTTTTATGCGCATATATCTGTAATTTAGCTTATTGCGCATTATTAAAATTCAAAATTATTTTAATTCTGTAATTTTATAATATTTAATAAACAAATATCTAAATTAGTAATTAAATTAGTGAAACAAATATTTAAATTAGTAATTAAATTAGTAAAACAAAAATTTAAATTAGTGATTAAATTAGTAAGACAAATATATAAATTAGTGATTAAATTAGTAAAACAAATATTTTAATCAGCAATTAAATTAGTAAAACAAATATTTAAATTTAATCACTAATTTATTAATCACTAATTAATCAAATTACTAAAACAAATATCTAAATTAGTGATTAAATTGGTAAAACAAATATATAAATTAATAATACAAATATTTAAATTAGTAATTAAATTAATAAAGCAAATATTTAAATTAGTAAAAAAAAAATAAGACAAATTCGTTTTAACTAATAGCTTATCTTATTGACAAAAAAGGAAAATATTTGCTAATTTAAAGGAAAAAAAAGAAAGGAAAGAAGGAAATATTATGCAGAAAAATTTTACTGCCAAAATATTTTTCGTTTTTTTTTATTTTATTTTATTTACTTATTTTCTTCATATAATTATTGTGGAAAAAAAAGAAAATTTTTTATTTTATTTGATAACAAATTTGTTCGTTTTTTTTTTTTTTTTTTTTTTTAAATTAATATACGATAAAATCACTTTGGATAGAATAATGAAAGTGGATGAAATTTTAGAAAAAAAAAATAAATAAATTTTAGTTTTTTTTATTTGACCTTGTCTCATCTATTTTTAGTATAATTCTTACATTTTTCATTTCTATTACATTCAACTTTTCATTCTTTTTTTTTTTTTTTGCTTTTTATTTTCTTTTTTACTTTTTTTGTTTTATATGTTTAGGATTAATTATAAAATTTATAATTATAAAATGGAATTTTAAAAGAAAATTTTTATTTTCTGTTTTAAAAATAAATAAAATTTGCACTTTTTAAAAATGAATAAAAATTTTTTATTAGAAAATATTTTTATTGCTCACATATTAATGGTATAATTAGAATTCATCAAACAATAATTGTTTTTTTCTTTCTTTTTTTTTTTTTGATCATTAAAAAATATTGACTTATTGATAAAGAATTTAAAATGTGTGCGTTAATTTGAAATTGAATTAACTATTAATAACAAATTTCTATTTTATCATTCATTCATTCCTTTTTATTTTTTCTTTTCTTTTTGATCATCAAAAAATATTGATTTATTGATTAAAAAATTTTAAATGTCTTGATAAGTTATCAGTTTTTGTTATCAGTTTTTTTAAAGAAATGCTTTTTGATCATCAAAAAATATTCATTTATTGATTAAAAATTTTAAATGTCTTGATAAGTTATCAGTTTTTTTTTAAAGAAATTCTTTTTGATCATCAAAAAGTATTGATTTATTGATTAAAAATTTTAAATGTCTTGATAAGTTATCAGTTTTTGTTATCAGTTTTTTTTTAAAGAAATTCTTTTTGATCATCAAGAAATTGATTTATTGATTAAAAAATTTTAAATGTCTTGATAAGTTATCAGTTTTTTCTTAAAGAAATTCCTTTTGATCATCAAGAAATTGATTTATTGATTAAAAAATTTTAAATGTCTTGATAAGTTATCAGCTTTTGTTATCAGTTTTTTTTAAAGAAATTCTTTTTGATCATCAAGAAATTGATTTATTGATTAAAAAATTTTAAATGTCTTGATAAGTTATCAGTTTTTTTTTTAAAGAAATTCTTTTTGATCATCAAAAAGTATTGATTTATTGATTAAAAATTTTAAATGTCTTGATAAGTTATCAGCTTTTGTTATCAGTTTTTTTTTAAAGAAATTCTTTTTGATCATCAAGAAATTGATTTATTGATTAAAAAATTTTAAATGTCTTGATAAGTTATCAGTTTTTTTTTTTTAAAGAAATTCTTTTTGATCATCAAAAAATGCTGATTTATTGATTAAAAAATTTTAAATGTCTTGATAAGTTATCAGCTTTTGTTATCAGTTTTTTTTTAAAGAAATTCTTTTTGATCATCAAGAAATTGATTTATTGATTAAAAAATTTTAAATGTCTTGATAAGTTATCAGTTTTTTCTTAAAGAAATTCCTTTTGATCATCAAGAAATTGATTTATTGATTAAAAAATTTTAAATGTCTTGATAAGTTATCAGCTTTTGTTATCAGTTTTTTTTAAAGAAATTCTTTTTGATCATCAAGAAATTGATTTATTGATTAAAAAATTTTAAATGTCTTGATAAGTTATCAGTTTTTTTTTTTAAAGAAATTCTTTTTGATCATCAAAAAGTATTGATTTATTGATTAAAAATTTTAAATGTCTTGATAAGTTATCAGCTTTTGTTATCAGTTTTTTTTTAAAGAAATTCTTTTTGATCATCAAGAAATTGATTTATTGATTAAAAAATTTTAAATGTCTTGATAAGTTATCAGTTTTTCTTTTTTAAAGAAATTCTTTTTGATCATCAAAAAATATTGATTCATTGATAAAAAATTTTAAATGTCTTGATAAGTTATCAGTTTTTCTTTTTTAAAGAAATTCTTTTTGATCATCAAAAAATATTGATTCATTGATTAAAAAATTTTAAATGTCTTGATAAGTTATCAGTTTTTTTTTTTAAAGAAATTCTTTTTGATCATCAAAAAATATTGATTCATTGATTAAAAAATTTTAAATGTCTTGATAAGTTATCAGTTTTTTTTTTTTAAAGAAATTCTTTTTGATCATCAAAAAATATTGATTCATTGATTAAAAATTTTAAATGTCTTGATAAGTTATCAGTTTTTTTTTAAAGAAATTCTTTTTGATCATCAAAAAGTATTGATTTATTGATTAAAAATTTTAAATGTCTTGATAAGTTATCAGCTTTTGTTATCAGTTTTTTTTTAAAGAAATTCTTTTTGATCATCAAGAAATTGATTTATTGATTAAAAAATTTTAAATGTCTTGATAAGTTATCAGTTTCTGTTATCAGTTTTTTTTTTTTTTTTTTTTTTTTTTTTTAAAGAAATACAATGAAAGTAATAATATGATGAGCAGACTTAAATATGCATTATTCATTGACAATTATAAGTGACATTCTTTTGCTAATACCATAATTTATCATAGAGGATGGGATAATTGCGCATTTATCGTTTTAGCATTTAAAAAAAAAAAATGCGCAATGTATCAAAACAAGTTTTTCAAAATTGATCAATTAATGTATTATCTAATTTCAAATGTTATTATATAAACGATTGAACTAAATAATAATCATATTTTAAGCTTAATTTATCGAACGATAAATTCAGAGTGATTTTTTAAATTAAATTTGAATCATTTCTAATTTATTACTTTTAGTTTACGATTTCGTATTATGCTATTTTTACTTTGTCATTCTATCATTGATAAAATTAATTTAAAAAAAAAAAAAAAATTATTCATTGTTTCAAATTCTATGTTTTATTTAATGTTGAAGTAAATATGAAATTGTATTTGTCTGTACTTATTATTATTTAAGAAAAGAAGGAATAATAAATAATAATAATAATAATTTCTTTTTTGTTTTGTATTTAAATAATTCATATAAATACAAATTTCATATTTCATTTAATG